AACATTTAACTTGAATTTCGCAGGATTTTTCGGATAAAACTATAGTAATAAGTAAGACACAAGGCTGTTAAATATAATTTATTTATAAGCTAGGCTGTAAAACGGTCGCAAAATCGCTACCAATGGAGAAATTTTAGTCGCAAAGCGAAATCTTTATTCGCAAATGCGCCCGATACAGGCGCAATTTCGAGCCCTGCAGTAGCCGAAGTCCCAAAATCTATTTCCCTTATTTACTTTAAATGAAACCTTTATTTAGCGGACACCTCCATTAAGCGGACTCGGACACCTAAAAAGTACCTGAAATGATAATTTCTATTGTCACCAACCTGTATTAAACGGACACTTGTAATCAAATTCCACCACCCCACATGCCAGATGCGAAAGATTGTCTCCAATTGCCACCCACAACTTTTTCGATTTTTACATTAAAAAAACGTGACTTGACGAACGTGTTTGATTAGTTTCACAGTGCAGTATTGTTTTCTATTTCGTTTTGTTTGTGTAGAGCTTGTTCCACTCATCTGATTTCTTCAAATTTGAGTTGCAATCTATGTTTATGGTACTATGATCAATTGGTCCACTTTGATAAAGAAACGAATGCAAACGTATATTGTCATAGTCTCTGGGAGTATTCTTAACATTTCCACTGTTCATTTGAATGGCATTTGACACCTCATATGACGTTTTCTATCGAAACCTGTATTAGGCGGACACCCTGTATTAAGCGGACACTACAGCATGCCCCGAGGGTGTCCGCTTAATACAGGTTTCACTGTACAGGAAAATAACAATACATTGGGAGAAAGTTAGTTGTCAATCATAATTACCATGCACGAAACGAAATGAACAACATGGATCGAAATCAACGAATCACAACTTGCATACATGACCTTTTGAACCCGCTGAAGAAAGCCAGAGTTTCCTGATACGTCAGTTAGAGTGAGTGACGGAGGCAAAAAGCGTAAACGTCAGTTATAATTTTGACCTGAGGTCGCATGTTATTTTAAAGCTCGGAAATGGTAGCGAAGAACTGGTAGATGACAAGATAACAGCTTGTGTGAAACAAATAATGTCTCCTGGGTATTATATGTAAAGGTTCGAAACGAAAACCAATGTCTGGGGAAACATTTTGCTTTCTTGAAAACGGTTTGCTATCAATATTTCAACTTTGTGCTTCGAGTAACTTACTGTTTTTTGTACGCGCTGCTGATAGGCCCACAACCAACTCTCTCGGAATGTACTGTTATTTTCCTGTAATTCGATTGGTCAACTTTGTCCGAGTGGCCCCGGGTTACCGTAGTCGCACTGTAACAAGACCCTTCTTAGAAATGGTTAGCTTAGGGATGACTCAAGAAGCTTTCCACAAACAACTTGGTTTTGAACCTAGATGTATGTGCTTTTGACTTTTTCAAGGTGTTACTTTCCGAAAGAGCCCTTAATTCATGTTAACATCAGACAAGCAAATTTCATTTCTAAGCTTTATATTTTTCAAAATCACAAATTTGCAACGTTTTGTCTAATTAAATTCTCAGTACAGCTGAAATGAAGAGATCACTTTGACAAACAAATTATTCAATTGCAAACAATTAAGCTAAAAAATTAATGAGGCTTAAGTGGTGGTGAAATGAACAAGTCTGAGTCGTAAACACGCATAAAGGGAAACTGCACTGGTCATGTAGCCACAAAATCTTGTAATTAACTTATCTAATAGTAATAAGCGTATAAAACATGGTCGCTACCCACCTTCTTTGATTTTTTCGATTTGTCAACGGTAGCATAAGCATTTTCATCTGCCTCCTTTTTCTTCGATTTATCCACAATAGCATAATCATGAGAAGCTGGGTGAGCAGTCTTCTTGTCCTTGTCCTTGATGGAATGAACAACAAATAATTTCTAATGAATTTGTAATCAAGAAAAACAAGACAAGACGATTTATTTAACTCAGCTTGATTTTACATATGATACAGACTGAATTTACAAGGTCAGATAAATACGTGAGGAAGGACAGGAAACCTGCAACACTCAGGAACACAAAATACTGAAATAATGCAGAACCACTAAAGGTAAAGCTTCGCTCACAATGGTATCTCAGTTCTATTATCGCATCGTTTCAAAAGCTTGTTCATTCCACAAAAGTTCTTTTTCTTCGTGTACATCCGTTGCTGAAAAATGCCTCGTGTCGAAATATTTCTCGTATTTTTACCCAGTATCATGGTAAACAATACAAACAAAGCCCTTTTAGGATTAATCGATTCCATTGTAAGGTTTTTCTAGCGGGTGCGGTGCTTTTCTACTCTTTCCAACTAATACATTTTCGTCCAATTTTTCCGGCCATTGAGATTTGTCTGTTGTTAACGTTGATATTTTTCTTGAAATTAAGGCAGTAAGCTAAAAGAACGAGCAAAACGAACTGGCGTTACATATGAACTTAAAAGAATGCAGAATAACAGTACAACCGGACATGACAGTTCGACATTTACGAAAATCTAAAAACACCAAAATAATGTCTGAAATCATAACCTCCCAATCGTCCTTAGAGACGCATGACAGCCGTTTGAAATTCAAGTAAGAGACAATTGGCGAGAGAATTAAGAAGAAAAAGTGCTACATGAAATTATTCATAAGGTTTTGAAGTTCGTATAGGCTTTTCAAGTTTGTAAAACGCTAGACATAAGCCTACGAGGGAAACAATGAGGAGGAACACCGCGGCAAAACGTCTACGCATGCGCCAGGTTGAGCATTTCCGGTCACTCTTTCAGTCACACTTTCCAGTCAGATCATAGTCTCCCGCGCGCTCTCAGCTTCATTCTGTGTGCAGCTTGTGGTTCAGTTGTTGTGCTTCATCCTGCTCGTGTTTTTGACTATTTTGCAGTTATTGAAGTTGCTTTTATTGATGACCAGGCACAGATCACTGAAACAATTAGCCGATTAGATTAAGAAAAGGTCAGTTGATAATAACTTGTGTAATTTTCGCTAATTTGAGCGTCAGGTAAACTGATTTTCTTTCATGAAAACAAAGTTTTTGACTGCCATTTTTCACTTAACCTGGCTGAAACTAAGACAGAAAAAGTTATCATTGCAAGCTTGTGTATGGTAGTTCTAGTTTTCGGTTCTTCAGTTTCTCAGTCTTAATGTCTTAAAACCGTTTCGAACTTTATTTGGAAAACGACAACACACATTCGTTTTGTAGTTTTATTTACCAGTGAGTTTTACCGTGTTTTGGAATGAAGCTCTTCTGAGTTGATTGCCATGAAACATAAGCTTAATTATACTGTTGAGGTTGGCAGCAGGTTGACAACTCTATTTATTTATTTTTTTCATTCTCAGAATCAGAGAGCGAATGCTGGTTTGATGGCTTTTACAAGTCGAAATTTTCATGCCATCAACTGGAAGGTTTCGTGTTTGCATGAGATGCAGCCGAGCTGCACAGTCTGAATTTATTGAAGTCTTCAACCAAAGAACAACCATGTAAAAGAATTAAATAGACATTTTCTTGAATGAAAGTACGTTTAAAGGCATGTAAAGGCAGGTATTCGTGACTGTTGTCATCAAAGTCGAGGTTGTCATTAAATCCCGCCTATCTTTTGTTTTTAGTTCTTGTTTTCTCTGATAATAAAACAGTTATTGAACGGACTACATTTTATTTCTTGGTTCTTTAGTGTTAATGATAATAATGACGTCTTTATTTTGGTTTCTTTCATAAGTATTGCTATAGATTCTTTCCTTAGTTATCGCCTTCTCTCAAATTAGCTTATGCCAAACCAGTAGCATGCAAGAAAGCCAGTAAAAACAAATTCGCGCGTCTCGTCGAGCGCTAGCGACCTACGAACTTCAATCATCATTTTCACTGTTGGTGCAGCAAACAGACAACCATGTGGTGCAAAAGTTTGACACTAGACAAATATATCAGCTATCGAATTAAGTGATTTTTTTCGCCCCCTTTTTTGTTTGTTTCTCCCTTTTTGATTTTAAGCTTGGCGCGACGGCAAAGTTATGCTTACGCAATTGGTTTATATACTAGACAGGAAATAAAAGATGAAAGGATGTTAAATTTTGTGCTCATGCGCAGTGCGTTTTGCCGCGGTGTTATGAGGAGGTAATATAATGTGTGGGTGTTCTGCTTGTAATATCTTCCGTCAAAGTGGAACTACTGAACCAACAACAAAAAAACTGATGTTCGGCCTCGAATGAAAATCGCTAAGCCTGTGACCGTTTTTTTACCTGCCTAGGATCCTCGACTTCCGCGTAAGGGTCTTCCACTTCTGCCTTCTTCTTCTTCTTTTTCGGTTTATCGACGACAGCATAGTCAGGAATATTCTCGTTTCCATTTTTCTTGTCCTTGTTTTTCTTTTTGGACTTGTCTACTACCGCATAAGCCGGAGGGGCAGCTGCTGCCTGTTGCTGCTGCTGCTCAGGCGGTGGCTGCACAAACCCGTTGGTTCCGTTTGCTGACTGCGGTCCCGCATCAGCATAACCACCATTGACTTTAGCATGAACACCATCTTCAATATCATTCTCCCCATGTCTAAAGGTAAAAGCTCCGATTACAACAAAGATTAAAGTCTTTGATCCAAGAACGTCTTCAACTTAGCTCCGCTGAGGTACTTGGAAAAAGATATCGCCCGTCCTTAGACGTTTACTGAAAACAAATGGTTTCTGAAAGCTTACTTGAGCGCGAAAGAGTTTTTACTCAATCAAACGTCTATAAGGTTAGCTTCATGTGCTCTCTATTAATGAGAATGCTCTCCTACACTCAAAGCTTATAAGCTAAGAATTTTTTGGAACTGCGCTCTGAGACACTAACATTGAACCAAAGACGATAAAATGCAATGTGTGGCAGATGTGAGTAATAAGTACTAAATAATTAAGGTAAACGAGAATAAGAAAGATCAAGGTACTCACAATACTTGACTTTCAGAATTGTGGACTTCGAGGTAGAGTGGATGGGTGGACATAAAATAAAAAAATCAGGATTAAAATTCTCAAACGAACAACATTAG